AGAAAGCTCTCCAAGAGGCTTTTAGTCAAGAAGGCCTTGCTCATTAAATCCAAAGCTAAAAACCTCAGGATACAAGGTATGCATTAGAGTTCAATGAGATTCGTATGATTATCTGTATTTTGGTTTACTTTTCAGGTAACCTGGCAGCTGTTGCATTGTTGTTTTTCAGTCATTGCATGTGTGTGTGTAAGGAAGAAATTTCTTTAAAATCAGTGTTAATTTGTGATAACTATGTGATAAGTATGGGATAACTACATATACATTATTTGAGCCAATGAAAGTGCTTAGCTTGGACAGGAAGAAAATAGTTAGGAAGATAACTGGAGCAAGTACTGCTGCATGGTAATACTATCTTCAGTGCTACTAGAGCTTTGATAATCTATATATTAATATTTTTTATGCTTCATAGGCAGAAGTTTTCTAAAATCTATCTTTCTCTTAAGAAATTGCTTAATGTGGAAACCCATTCATGCAACTTTGTAGTCAGTATCTGTCATACTGCCTTTAAAGATAATTCTATAATCAAGGACTAAAAAAAGAAGGGTAAGAGTTGTCAGTGAATATCATATGATTGTGGGTCCTCAACCCAATATATATATATATATATATATATATATATATATATATATATATATATATATATATATATATATATATATATATATATATGCATGCATGCATATATTTATCTACGTATATTTATATATCATATTTTTTTATCTATCTATCTATTTATCTATTTATCTATCAATCATATACTATCTATATATATATATATATATATATATATATATATATATATATATACATATATATATATACATATATATATACATATATATATACATATATATATACGTATATACGTATATACGTATATACGTATATACGTATATACATATATACGTATATACATATATACGTATATACGTATATACGTATATATATATATATATATATATATATATATATATATATATATATATATATATATATATATATATATATATACACATGTATACATATATATATGTATACATATATATATGTATACATATATATATGTATACATATATATATGTATACATATATATATGTATACATATATATATATGTATACATATATATATGTATACATATATATATATGTATACATATATATATGTATACATATATATATGTATACATATATATATGTATACATATATATATGTATACATATATATATGTATACATATATATATGTATACATATATATATGTATACATATATATATGTATACATATATATATGTATACATATATATATGTATACATATATATACATGTATACATATATATACATGTATACATATATATACATGTATACATGTATACATGTATACATGTATACATGTATACATATATACATATATACATGTATATACATGTATATACATATATATATATATGTATGTATGTATGTATATATGTATATATGTGTATATGTATATGTATATGTATATGTATATGTGTATATATATATATATATATATATATATATATATATATATATATATATTTATATACATGTATATATATATATATATATATATATATATATATATATATATATATATATATATATATATATATTTATGTATATATATATATAGTTTTATATATATATAGCTTTTACTTTGCATTATAGTGGTATTCGTGCCTTTCTTCAGTGAAGAAGCAAATTGTAATTACTCATCAATGTTTTATAGAAAGGAAAGGTGTAAGTCTAAGGAGATCTGAAGTTTTGAACTCAAGCAACATCCAAGCTTCAGTTGTGGCAACACGTTCTGGGAGACTCCTTCACAAATACCGTGTATCGGCCACGACTGCTATGGCACGGAAGAAGGCCAGGGTGGCTAAACTCTCTTCCATACGTCCAAAACAGAAGCTGTCAAGGATTTTGCAAAGGTATTTTAACATTTAGCAGAAAATGTAATTCTACTTCCATATAAGGGGAATAGATAGCTGAAGGTTCTTCATTATGGTATATAAAAGGCTTGAAAAAGATTGAATACTGTAAGAAAGTTTGAATTTTTTGGGATTTGTTAATATGTGGAATGGCACCTTGTCAGTTCCTAATATTAAAGATTTCTTTTCCAGAAGGGTTTTAATTAATTGTGTTGAAAGATTTTTAAAAGTGTAATGTCAATTTTTTTCTTATTCCAAACAGATTGGGTGGCACAGTATCATATCCAGAAAGTAGACCTACTAGGGTAACACGTAGCAAAGTTGAAGGCAAGGAAGAGGCTGCCAATGAGAAGAGCAATGAAGAGGAGGATCCAAAGGTAAAGCCTGAGGAAGAAAAGCAAAGCGAGACAAAGACAGAGACTACAAAGGGAAATTCCCCTGAAGCAGCCCCTGCAGGGCCTTCCAATAGACTGATAAGGAAGAAGGAAGAGAGAAAGAAGTTTATTATGAAAAGAGTTGTCAGAGTTAGAAAAGGTGAGTAGAATCATACT